TGCAGATGCATCTTTACACGCAGAATATATTCAATAAAATGGATCTTAGTACACAGACTGAAAACCAGTTTTACCACAGTGACTTTTTTGATCCCTTGAATGATGGAATTCATCAGAGACTTCAGTTTGTTGTCATCATTCAGGTAGTCGGCATGACGGACGCACATGAAGAGGAGGAAAGCTGGCAGAGTCGGGATCACGTTGACCACCACACCTTTGGGCTTCAGGTCTGTTAAAATGAAGGAGAACATCATCATTATTATACTGAAATTCAAAGAAAGCTCATTAGCTAGAAGATCATAACTAGGAGTGGATATTGCCAAAGAAGTCACGATGCGATTCGAATCACGATTCATATGACACGATGCGATTCTATCATGATGCATCACGATACTTGAATTATTGCGATGCATTCATACATAGCTGTATTTTTGAAATGACTTTTGGAGGTATTGCCATGAAAACAAATACTGCTGTAACAATATATCAACTTTATTTTTACCTTCGTTTTTAAAACCAAAATGCTTCCAAACATCGGATTTGAAATGTGATGGAGCCGGACGAAGTTTCTCAATCTCCTCCGTGTTTTGTTTATGAATGACTCGTCGCAGTATCCCGCGGCTGGAAATGCTTGCGACACAAGGCAGCGACATCTACTGGACTGGAAGTTGTATTACACTTGTTTTTGGCTGATGTTCGCCAACCAAATTTTATTTATTCATTTTTTTCTAATTAATAATTGATACTTGGCGTCAAGAATCGATGCAGTAGATCACGAAAATTAGAATCACGATGCATCATCGTGACGATTATTTTGCGCACCCCTACTCATAACTATGATGATTCCAAAACAGTTTAAAACTAATCCACTGGACTTTGTTTCCAAGTTTGAAGATGTTTCTATTCCCATCCAGGAAGCTTTTTATATTCAAAATGTCATTTTCTTGAATGTACTGCATATGCATTATGATGCAAATTGAATGTACCGAATATGTACTGAATATGAAAATGTCTCCGGACCTTTACTGGTTGATGATTTTCTTTATTTGGCCCCGCTGATTTTAATTGGTTACCCCTGCTATAAAGCCTGGAACACAACGCTATTTCTGACATTTTGAATTGAAAAATCTTCCTGAATGGAAGAGAAACGTCTTCAAACTTGGAAACAAAGTCCAGAGGATTGTTTTCTAACTGTTTTTGGACTGACTGACCTGGATGACTGAGAATCTTCAGCAACATACCTATGATGATAGTTTGAATGAGCCTTGCTTCATCCTCCCTCCCATACTCCAACATGCCGAGGTATTCTTTAGGAAGAGCGGGATTTTGTTTCGCTGTGGGAGAAGCAGCATACGTTATAAACATTGTGAAATTAAAATTATTTTGATTATGTATGGAGGACAATATAACTCCACCTCTCTGTGAGCGTTTCAGACTCTTTATCTGCTTATGGAGTTTCTTGATGCATCGCTCCTTCTGGTCAAGCTGCTCCTCCAAGTCCTGCGTGTTAATGACACGTTAACAACCGTCGGTTTTTAACTTTTCGCACAGTAACCCTTCATCTCGGAGGCTATCTCTCTCACACACCATGTTCTCGGCGGTTAACTGTGACGCCTCCTCTCGCAGCTTTCTTTTCACTTCTCCCTCCATCAGCTGCTGTCTTTTCAAGTGTTCGTTCTCCTCCTCCAGTTCCTCTATCCTTCCCTGAAGCTGCTCCCTGGTCTCATCCAGCTCCTTGGCCCTCTCCTCAAAGTGCCTAAAACGCATTAAGACAGCTGGAAGTTATGATTCAGCACTCTGAGTGAGAAAAATGAACGGTGAAATAAATGTTACCGGCGTTGCGTGCTTTCTTCTGCGATCTTCTTGTGGAGAATGGTGCTGATCTCATTATTTTTCTCTTTCATTGTATGAGAAAGAAAAAAAAGGTCAGATAAAGATTGATTAAAAAAAACTCAAACATCATCTAGATCAGGGGTCACCAACGCGGTGCCCGCGGGCACCAAGGCGCCCTCAAGGACCACATGGGGGGCCCTCTTCGTCCTCTGAAAACAGAAGAACTTTTTTTTTTTTTATTCTGTTGCTCTTCTTTTTAATCATTTGTGTATTATTTCATCATGTTAACTATTTCATCATATTTCAGTGGTTTCAAAATGACATTAAAAAGAAAATTAGAAATGAATAAAAGAATAAAATAAG